CAAACCAGCGCATTCAGCTCGGCAAAGAACTCATGCTCTTCCTCAACACTGAAGTCCTCAGACATTTTTCTTTCGTTGTTTCTTTCTTTGCACAGGTAAACAGCACATTTCTTCTTCTACGCTTGCATTATCGGCAGAGCAGACGCTGAATGCGCACTTTCATCTGGTTTGGTCTGCCAGCTTCCGTAGCGTCGTGATCGCGCATGTGCGCGCTTTCAGGAAATCCTATACACTACTGTTTATGCTCTAAAAACATTCTAAATGACTTCGTTTTGAGTAAATTCTGGATGCTACCCACTCAGGACACTTGGAATACATTGGACGAGCAGTATGGAGGAATATTGACATGTTTTTTGTGGACTTTTATGGACCTTTCTGTCTCGGGCACCATAGACCTCCATTATTTGAATGTCAGCAGACAGCAAGAAGCCTCCTAGATCTCCAGATGCATTTGAGATATCAAAAAAGTACTCCAGAGTGTTGTTCAGCATGGGGGTGAGTAGAAAATGAAGGCTAATCATGTTTTGGGTGTACTATTCCTTTAATCTACGAATTCTGACTTTTTCCTCAGAATTCCGACAGCTAACAAATATGTTAGCATCAACCCGTAGCCATGTCTGTTTTAGAGACTTAACTAGCTCTCTTGTTTTAATCACCTTCTGCTCTTCCATTGTTGAAATAGCATCACCACGGACCCCTCATGCACTTAAAAACTCGCCTAATCCTGTCACTTTTCACCAATGTTTCACTGGCCCTCCCAAACCATTCGCATCTTTGTCAGTGAAGCTGAGTGCTCCCACATCTCTTCCTTCAAGGTGCCCATCTACATTAAAATCCACAATTCTGAGATTAAAGTCAGAATTTTGAGAAAAAAAGTCAGAATTCTGACTTTTTCCCCATATTAAACTGAAATAATATTTAAAAATCAGTTAACTTTTTTTTTTCAGTGGCCCTAATGCTCTTCCGTATGTAACAGCAATGAGGATTCTTTAAATTTATAGTTTCAAAATAAGAAGGCTCAGTCTGAAAGACTATCACAGAGACTCTTACAAAGTACAGAAAATAAAATGCCACTTATACACAGTAATAACTGTCATATTTTAAATTAAATATTAATTCGCCTTTTTAGGGACAAGTAAATAACAGTTCACCTTGATCAATGCAGGAGTGTTTTTTGCTAACTTCAGTCTGTATCAATCCTGGAGGGGTTACAGCTGATTAACTGAATAATGATGGTAAGAAAAACACAAACACATTACTATAAATTAATAGAAACGAAATTTTAATTTATTAATGCATGTGAATATTATCAATCATCCAAGTCCCAGTAATTAGCATACAAGGGTTCCAGCTTTCCCGCATCCATAACCAGTTTGGGAGCTGCTGCATTTATGTCAAGGAGTCACATCCAAATGCAAATAAAGACCAACCATTCCCCCAGGTCATTTGATGTCAGTGGTTGTCTCTATTTCACCTGAATCCTGATTGGATAATTTTTGTAATTTCTTTGGAATGAGTTTTAATGCAGGTTAATAAATGCTGGAAAACTGACTGGAATGATTGAGATTATACCTTCAGGCATGAATAGATTACATTTCCTAACAGCTGTGATACAGAAACTAATAATTAAAAATAATGAATTTGACTGTTCTCCAAGAGTCACGCTGACTTTAGCTGGTAAGAAAAAAAAAGATGAAAGACATTAATTGAAAGCAGAGGCTTGTCAGGATCTGCGACCAGACACCGTTTATGCCCACAGCCATTTAACCCGTTTCATTTCACTTTGGGATTACCGGTAATGTTTTTTTTTTTTTTTTTTACTGAATTGTATATAATAGTGAGAGTCTAAATATAATATAAATTACATCCAACAGCATGCTAGATCACCTTACTTTCACATACAAAGAAAAATATGCAGGATTCTCCATTGTAAATGTAAAATTGTTATCTCATGGTCTTTGGAAAAAATGTCGGAGCTCTTTCAGATTGAATCGATAACTTCTCACTTTTCCATTTAACCTTTCCATCAGATCATAGCCGGTATCTTGTTCCCGCTGCTGAAAACCATCTCCAAAGCATGCTGCTCACAACAAACTTCACCATGGAAAGATTTTGTACATGCCCTTGTATATTATTATATAATTTTGCTTGTGGAAAATAGTTTGGATTCATTTGAAAGGAGCACTATCTTCACATCTCTGACACATCCACTATGTTATAACAAAACCAGATAAGTCTGTGTTTGATAGTTCTGTTGACAGATTCTCATACCTGAGTTGTGAATCTCCACGGCTCCTCCCAGGTTAACCGGACTGGTTCTCTAATAAACGCTCATTGTTGTAAAGCCCATCAGTTTAGTTGTATACACAATGTCTTGGTAGGATTATAGTTATACTTCACTAGTATTTTCAGACAACGGACTAAAGGTTCTCCACATCTTTATCTCCAACATGTCAGGCACTTTTATTGCACTTTGTAGTTTGCTCACTAATTTTCACAAATCTGATAGTTTGACTTCAACAGTTTGACTGAGATTAAATTAAATTGAATCCTTTCTACACCTCCCCTATTTCTATTTGTGTAATGCTTTGAAAAACATGGATCATCTTCCTTTTCCTTCATAATCCACATTATTTTATCCATAAGTGAAACATGTAGTTAAAAAAATATGCAAAAAAACAACATAAAAAGTAAAGATTGTGCAATGTAGTGTAATTTGTATGAACATGGTTATTTGTTTTATTTTTTGTATAGATGTGGGACATTTCATGAGCTTAGATTTTTATTTTTATTTTGAAGCAGTGAGACAATTTTTCATAAGGCAGTCTTATCAGAGCATTTTATGGGTTTCTGTGTAATAAAACCAAGGTGATAGATCACACAGTTTGGTTGTTTGTGACGTCAGAAGAAGGCTGTGCTGCCCAAAACTTAGATTAATATAAAAACACACATACCAGCTTATTTATTTTGCTGAACACATTCTTTTTTTTTTCAGGTCAACAACTGGTTGTCATTTTTAATATTTTTTTTGTTATAAATTTATTTAATTTTACAATTCCCTAGTAATTAACCAAAGCAGTTACTACGGTGACTTAGGTTGGTCTATTTTCATCTATTGTGATGTCTGAAGAAGGCTGCATGAACACGACTATAAAGCTGCAACCGTGAAACATTTTCTCTTTCAAAATGGCTGCATGAACCTGTTATGAATTACTTTATTGGTCTAAAAGGAAAAAATACCAGCGAAACAAGTTACTGTAAAGCAGTTCTAAAAGAAATTAAATGTGCAAAAGTTTAAAAAGAACATACATTCAGTGACAAGTGCTGTGACTCCTGACAAACAGCATAGATAATTCATTCACTTCTATGATACAAAAAAACCCCAGTGGAAACTCATAACTGAAGATAAAAAAAATACTTCCAATGATGATTCACTGCAACTCTAAAAGTGGCGTTATAATATTTAAGTGTCCATGTCAGGAATCATGTCTTTTTTAAATGGTCCAATAACTTAGCTAAAATAATCTGATTCACAGTGACAGAAAAACGTAGATTAGATTCAAGTAAATCACTGTAATTCTAATTAAAAAAAACAAACTAATACAATACATTTCCAGTGATGTGTGCAGGGAAAACAAAAAAGTTTTAAAAAATGTAAATGTTGCATGCTTAGTGCATGCACTTAGAACTAGGGCTGCAACTAACGATTATTTTAAAAATCGATGAATCGGGCGATTATTTTTTCGATTAATCGATGAATCGGACAAAAAATATTTTTATTTTATTATATATATATATATATATATATATATATATATATATTTTTTTTTTTTTCCAAAATAAACATTTTAGACAGAACAAACAAGCACACAAGTACATGTTGCTCATTAACTGTACTGGTGCAATATGAAAGATAAATGTTTGTGTTAAAACTATGCAAACTTACATGAAAAATGTAGCTGTACATCCACAAAATATAGGCTACTTTGTTTCATAAAGCGCAAAAAAAGGCATTTTTGTTTTCTAAAGCCCCTAACGGGTTCAAACAATAGGCCCCCCCATTTCAACAAATGAGTTTGTTTTTTTTTTACTAGAAGAGTTCTGCCTTTTAAGACAGGAAAGTATAGCAGTTAAAGTTGCTACTTGAGAAAATACTGAACCATAGAGATAAAAATAGCCCTGTGGTTCAAATTATAAATTGTATTTGGAATAAAAATGAGAGAACTAGGGGTGCTAAAAAACACATCCACCAAAGACAGATATTTACATGGGAATGTGGCAGATAATTAATTGACATATTACTGATCTTGCTGGATTTTATACTTTACTTCCATAAATTGCAGGATCTTCTTTACTTTATCTTTGCCAGAAGATTTAAACTTCAAAAGCCTTGCCCTCATAATTTGCAAGATAATTTATTTATGAAGGCTATTTTAATTATTGTGATCAATTTGCACCGTCAATCCCGGCACATGCGCGCTTCATTTGCAGTCTGGACGCTGAAACAGGCTGCAGCGGGATGCTTCTCCAAGTACATCCTGCGGCTCTGATTGCAGCGATGAGAGAGATTCCTGCGGGAGAACGGGGTTGGGAGGGGGGAGGCGCCCCACGGCAGCAGCTGCCGCTGGAGGACAAGAGTAGGAACGATACATGCTTTCACGTAAGAGTCTCCAAAAGCCGCCAATGACACCGTAAAAAGTCGCCAGATTTGTCGCTAGTCACTTTAAAAAAAAAAAAAGTCGCTGGAGGGGTCTGAAAAGTCGCTAAATATAGCGACTAAGTCGCTGAGTTGGAAACACTGCGCACCTGCGGCGCTGACTCGCTCTGCCGTATCTTTTTTTTTTCTTCCCCCGTTTCAGTCAAGTGGCAGTGATAATGGCGGCAGCGGATGACGCATTAATCGCGCGACACAACTAATCGATGATGAAATTCGTTGCCAACGCTTTTAAAAGTCGATTTTTATCGATTTTATCGATTCGTTGTTGCTGCCCTACTTAGAACAGCTAATAAAAAAAAAAAAAAAACACTCTTCAAAATAAGAGAAGATGGTTTGGCCCAGCAGATTAAGGGCCTACAAACAGTAATAGAAGTACAGTTTATAGAGCAAGATATTGATGATTAAGAACAGAGTTTGTTAGGCTTCTTCCAAATTTGCTTGGATTTACATTACATCAGATGTGCTGAAATAAACTGTAATAAAACACAAAAATGCTCACGAAATGAATGCAGGATTCCCATCTTGAAAGTAATATCACATTTTCTGCATGTACAATATTTCATTAAAAAAAAGTACAAACAGATTAAAACAAAAGAGGAGATCTGAAAATCCAGCAGTAACTAATGCATAAAATATCCTGAACTAACAGTAACATAGACCAACATTATCTAGAATGAATGGCGGCAAAGCAACAGTTATACGAGTTATAACTTAGGTTGCTTTAAGGAGGCCCTGTAATAACTTGTGTGTTTAAAGCCAAGTTATACAAACCAGTGTAAGTGGATACAGTCGATCGATAGAAACGTTGTTGTTGTTTTTAGGTGAATTGAAGTTTGGAATGGGTGACTGAAAAAAAAAATCATCTGAGCATCCTGGTTTACAGTGAGGACGTATCTCTGGCCATGAGCTGTGAGCCACTGTTAACCTGGAAGCGAGTTTCCTCAGATATTCCATATTGCTCCAAAGGATCCTGTTTGGGAAACAGACTGTGAATACAGGACAGACTAATAACTTTTTATTACTGAGAAAAAATAATTATTTACCAAAACAGTAAAGACGAGAACATGTAAAAGCAGAGTTTGACTGTTTTTTAAGGCTGATATCGTTCATTTTCACATTAGTCTAACTAGTCCTCAATATGTGTTTTAGCCACTTTTTCAAGTTGGTGTTACTTTTTCTTCCTCCATTTACATGTAAAGGCAACACAATAATAAATGTTTCAAAAGTCTAAATGTAAACAAAAAGAAAACATGTATAAACTATCAAACACAACATGAACAATAAATTACAAACGGAAATATTGCAAGGTACGACTGCTTAATGCACTAATCAATCGAAGGCATGCACACATCATACGAACCTTCTGCGGGCCAAAATATTGGTCTATTTCTATGTAAACCATTTTAACAATTTTTTTTTTCCTGTTTGCATGTCATTAAATTAGTGCCATATGTAGTGCCTTAAAATCTTTATTTATAAAATGTTTCTTTTGTGTCTGCATCTTTTTGATGGGGAGAAATAACCTGCTATGCTTGGCTTTTATTATACGCAAGCAAAAATATATAGATGTTTCTTCAACTTGCAGAACTTTCTACACTTGAGGCCAAGTCCCACTCTTTCTAAAATTCAGAAAAAGGGGAACTTTTGTTTGCACACATACTGCTTTAAAGACAACTATTGTAACAACTTTCAAAGTTTCAGGGGAATGCTCCAAGATTAAATGTAAAGCTCTGTATGTTCCTGCATTTAATAGGATGATTGTCTTTGAAGATGCATTTCCAATAGAACCTACCTTACCATACTTTGACATGTATATGAATGCAAAGAAATAGTAATAGTAAGAAGAACGTAGATGACATGTTGAATAGAGATAAAAAGGAATGTAGAGAAGGAAAAGGAAAATGGAAAGAAACAAAATAATTACTGTTCCATGAGAAATATGAGGATGAGGAACAGAAGAGAGATGGTAAAAGAAGAAAGGAGGAAGATAATAGTTACTGGAATGAGAAAAAGATTTTGAAAGATGAGGTGAATGAGAGGAGGATGAAGATCATCGGTGGTTGAGTATCCTACCTTTCCGGTCAGTCTGTGGATTTCAGTTCTATAGAATATAAGGTTCCTCCTCATGAACTCGTAGCTGCAACAAAAGACATATCAATTAGCTGATTATATTAGAGCTTTAAACTATAATAGTTTCAAAACAAATATAAAAAAAAAAACTCATATGAAGCTTAGTGATAGGATCATCCAGAATTATGTAAACCACAACTGTATAATGTTAAAATGAAGAGGTGTAAGCCCTACCTTGCTTTGATAATGGAGTCTATCCACTCCTTACATTGCTCTTCAGAGTCACACTCAAACAAATATTTCCTCTCCGCATCATCTAGAAATGCTGGGAGAAGAACATCCACCGGGTTTATAATGCACTCAAAATATAAAGGAGTTATGGTTATTAGACTTTGCTCATATGTGGATGTTAGCAAACCAGAACCGTTAAATTCAACAGAACAGACCACAAAGACACTGAATATATCCCATTCTACTATTTTTTTTAAAACAGTGGTATATTTAATTGCTGCTAAGTAATAGGCAACTTTTTCAGTGGTGTCAAAAGTACAAACATTCGTTACTGAAGTAGAAGTATAGACACTGCAGTTTAAAAACACGTAAAAGTTGAAGTATCAACTTGACCTCTTTACTCAAGTAAAAGTGAAAAAGTATGTGCTCCAAAAACTACTTAAAGTATAAAAGTATAAAGTAAGCTTAAAAAAAACAGCCAGATGCCACATTTTTCGACTATTTCGAAAATTTCTTTAAAATAGGGCCAAGGATTAGTGAGGTCCTGTTGGTCTCCATCTCCCGATAATCTCTCGCCTGTGTCCGTCCTTTCAGACATGCATCTCATGCATGTCTGCTGCTCTGTCATGTCTGCTTGCTCGAGTAAGGCTTCACTTTTTCACTTTTCACAAAACAAGTTTGTACTTTTTACACAGCTTTGTTCACATCTCAAGTTTAAACTGTTTTATTTAGAAGTTTGCACTTTGTGTTTAATATAATATTTTAAAACATAGTTGAACAACTTTCATTGTTGTAAAAACCGATTGTATTGAAATTAATCGATTTAGAACCGTATGAATCAAAATTGAATCGATTCAGGACTGAGGCGAAAATACCCAGCCCTAGCCAACACTGAATGTAAATAAACAGGTTTTTATTATTATTATTATCATCTCAGAACAAGTTATTATTGCTTTTGAATTATTGCATATACAGTTCTTTGTAAAAAAAAAAAAAAAAAAAGTTTACACATTTCTAAGGATATAAAATCTCATCCTTACATTAAGAAATTAAAATTATTATTTCAACCAGGGCAAACAAAGTTTGGCTGTAATGTCTGATGTCCTTTCCTGGACTGAGTGTAAATCCGTGTTTCTGTCAGTATCTCACCAACAGAGAAGATCTGAGTGTCCTCTCTCTCTACACGACACTGTTCCAACAGCAAAGCCCCAACTGGCTGCAAGTTAAACAAACAATTAATACACATGAAACTGATCAAACTGTCTCCCAAAGTGAGAGCTTATAGCTGATATGTCAAAAAAGAGGAAACGTCAACTCCAACTGACCTCCTCTTCATCAGTCCGGAAGTAAAACAGAAAGTTAACTACGAGTTTCACCAGCCTCCTCTTGACAACTATACATGAAAAATACACACACGAGAAAACACCCTGTCAAACTGTACAATTAAAATGGAGCCAATGAGTGGCGAGAATTAAAACGGTAAAGGAGTAAACTAGAGGTAAAGTAGTGGAGTCAGCAGGAAAGCAGCGGTGTTTTACCGTCTCCTTTCTTGGGACCTCGCATTCCCAGTTCAGCTGCCATCTCTGACGGTTGGCGGCTCAAACAGACCAGCTCCTTCTCGTTGAAACGCATATCGATCAGTGAAGTGGGTGGAGGAGCTTTCTTTGGTTACGACTGGGCCGTTTTACTCACTAAAAACATTTCACAAAAGTTATCTGATGAAAATGGCGAGGTGATGTCGGTATTTATCATGCCGAGTTCGATGCTTCCTTAAGGGATGTCCTCGCGCTGTGACGGACGAGTCATGTCTACTGTTGGCACACCGCCCCTTTAAGGTAGCTACACACCGGATTAAAAAAAAAAATCTCACTGCGCAGTGCATTTCTGGTCATTATTGGAGGTTGTAAAACAACCCGAAGGCCTCATTACCGCCATCTAGTGGGTTGATGTTTGTACAACATAAAATTAGAACGTCAACGTTCTAATATTTTATTTTGGAAAGTTTCAAATAAAACTGGAATTGAGAAAAAATTTCCACCAATACTTGTTTAAAATATGATAATTAATTTATAATATAATATAAATAATTATTTTTAATAATAAAAAAAGGAAACATATTTTAAATTCCCTTTTAAATGTGTTAATATATGATTTTAATTTAAATTGTTAAGAAAACGCTTAACAATTTAAATCACTTCTTGAAATAAGACTTGTCATAAGTACAATGGCTCTCAAGTGCAAACCACATAGACAAATCTTTAAACAAAGATGCAAAATAAAAAAAAACACAACAGAATATTCAAAACCAAAATAACATATTCCAAACACACAATAACATTAACTTAAAAAAACATGCAACATATTCAGAAACACAACAATTTATATAAAAAAAAAAGATGGAAAAAATCCAACAACATACTCAAAAATGCAAAAAGCTGGAAGTCACTCTGCACTTTTTGTTTAAATGTTGAATGAGCAACCAAGGCAGAATTACTTCAGGTTTAAAAGCTAAGTGGTGCCATCATCCAAACAGCGAGGTCTTAACTTTCCCACTAATATATATCCCTCTTTCAGTAGGTTAATGTCATTTTTTTTTTTTTTTTTGGTTTTGAATATGTTTATTTTTTATTTATGTTCAGTTAAGGATTTGTTGATGTGGTTTGCACTTCATGGCCAGAGTACTAAGGTCCAAGTTGGACTTAATGATAAAGACACTCAAAGATGGTGGGAGTAAAATTACTAGGTACACAGGTATAATCACACGGAGTGTCTGCAGGCTTAAATGTATTATTATGTTCAAAATCATATGGACATATTCTATTACTATGATAAATGTGAAAACATCCATCCATTCATCTGGTGCGAGGGGTGAAAACAGTTTCCACAAATTCTAAGGCAGACTGCTGTTCATGTTCTGTTAATATAGTTTTAAAAAATTCATTTAATTTTGATCAGTCTTAAGAATTTCCCATTTAGATTGTATAAATGCAACACAAAAATAAAATAATTCAATATAATGTCAAATGAAACAGACAAAACACTAACAGGCTGCAATTTGCTCCCAGTCACTAGGCGGCGATATTTCAGTCATCCACTGTTAAAAACAGCTAACGTTAAGCTAGCTGGCAGGAGAGCTAGCTTAACACTTCTGCGAGCACCTCGCGTATACGTGGGTAAGTGCTTTTTTGCTTTTGTATCGTTATATATGTCGGTGATGTTTTATTCAGATGTATAATTTATTGATTACATAAATATAAATGTTTAGTTTTATTTCTAATATGAGCAGGGATGCTATTAGGCAAACGTTCCTCGTACGTGCTAACGCTGTTAGCTTAGCATTGGGTTTCTTACAACGTAATCTCTGAACTACCAAACAGCGAAACATCTTTTGAAGGGGATCTTTCGGTGTGGGATTGTGCTAAAGTAGTTTATATTTTTTATGTGCTATGATCGACATTTGCAAAATGTATTTGACGAATTTATTGCATTGAGACACGTGAACTGCTACCCTCAGTCACACCAACACTGTAGTTTTGTAGCAAACTAGCTCCTAAAATGCTAACTTCCCTTAGAAATCATATTTTTGCTTTGTACATGCTTTTCTATGCACGGGTTTAAGTATTTAAGGTGCAGTGATCAGGGACTTTTGGGTGTGATTTAATATATATTTATTTCTTTGATCACTAAAGTTTAAAAAGCTCTGATCTGACACCGACTTCTTTTTTTAATTGTAAAAAATAGATACTTGTGTTTTATGTAGGAAAGTATTCAGATTTTAAAGCTCAATGGAAAAGAAGATATTCTGAAATAGCATCAAAAGAACTTTCAAATAAAGGCAACAAAATGTTAGCAGTTCAAAAGAGAAAAAAAAAGTAATATGAAAATTCATGTCAACATGATAGAACAATAGTCAAAATGCTAGTTCTCATCCAAAGTCCTTGGCCAGATGTGAAAAAAACCACACTACAAAGGCTATACAGTAAATTAATACATAGTGAAAACATTCAGGGCATGCATTTAACATATTTGTAGCAGAAGCAGCAAGACAGTAATAAGAACAAACAAGCAGTATGAATGCATAACGGCACATTTGTTAGAATAGATGCAGCAGCAAGATAGAGGGTTATCAGCAGTTCATTATAGACATAAACAATGTTAAAGAACACTTTTTAGTAAGGGCACATTTTAACATCCTAAAGCAATAGTCATTAAACAAAAGAAAAACAGCAACGTTGAAATTGCACAAAAGAACATGCAAGTCAAGGAGGCAGCAGCTCAGTGCTGGCTGGTCAATTCCTCAAACTTATGTTGTAATGCCATTATACTATTTAAAGATAGAGGAGTCTAAATGAATACAAGCTATTTTCCTGAGCAGTATTATGCAGTCTTTTCTACATATTCCTCTTGCGAGGCAAAACAATGTTTCTTCTATCTTGTTTTTTTTTTTTTTTTTTTTTACATGATTTAAAGGAAAGGGGCTGGGTCATCTGGTATTTGGGCATTTGATAGTGTTGGTGATGCCGAGCAAAATTATGGGATGTTTCAATAGAAGCAGAAAAGCAATTGTGGGACAGGTAGTCTCCATGTCAAAAGGGTAGGGAAATATATACTTGTCAATATCCTTAAAGAGCCATTAAATCAATATTGGTATCAAAATATTGAGTAGCCAAATTTGTATTTCAGTGCATCTCTGTAATATTCTATATTAACCAGTCTGCCTTGTTGTTAGTTTTTTTCCTTATAAGTAAAAACAGGAGTCTTTCCAGTTTTGACTGGAGGTGTTCTGTCCAAGTGGTTAAGTCCATCCAGTCACAAAGATGGATTTCCAGCACCGAGCAGGAGGGAAAACGGGCAGCGGTGGGGTGGCCTCTTCGTCTGAGAGCAACCGTGACAGGCGGGAGCGCTTACGTCAGTTGGCCCTGGAGACCATCGACATTAACAAAGACCCCTATTTTATGAAGAATCATTTAGGATCATATGAGTGCAAACTCTGTCTGACACTTCACAACAACGAGGTAAGAAGGCACGGGCTCAACCAGCTCATGTGGTGTTTTAGATTTAAAGTTATACTTCCAGATATCTCTGCAGGGTTCTTGTTTAAAAAACAAAAATGGCTGAAAGTTTCTCTCTTGTGTTACAGGGCAGCTACTTGGCTCACACACAAGGAAAGAAGCATCAGACTAACCTGTGAGCACCTTGCTTATATTTCTTATTGATTATATATATATAAAAAATATGCACATTTCAAGGATTTAATAGAATACATTTTACATTTTTGAAGGAGTGATCAGAAGGAGTTGTGTGGCCACATAGTCTCCTATAACACAACATTAAACCTAATAACAGCATGCTACCCCATGTTCTACCTATCTGTTTATTACTCTTTGAGTCTTATATACAGTATACTATATAAACAATGTATCATTTATAATTTTATTTGCTGTAGTCTATATTGAAGATCCTGTTTCTTTGCATAAAATTCTGTAATATAATAGTCGGCAGATTAACATGTTGATAACGATGGTTCTGTTGCTGTAGAACCTGTATTATTTTGTCTGTGAATCAGACACCAGTATGCTGCTGTTTAACTGAGGGCCACAGCAAAGGGTTTTTCAATTCATCTGTCCTCACCCAACATGTCGGGTTTGTCCTTTGACTTGTTGACCTTTTGCGTTTCAGAGCTCGAAGAGCAGCCAAAGAGGCGAAGGAAGCTCCTGCTCAGCCAGCCCCAGCCAAAGTAAAAGTTGAGGTCAAGAAGTTTGTCAAAATCGGTCGACCAGGATACAAAGGTAGGCCTTGTTGTTCCAGAAACAAATCAATTATGATTGGATTTATCACGATTCTTTTATATTCTGTTAAGGTAATGATTTCTGTGTGCTTTGTCTCTTTATTCTTTTAGTGACAAAGCAGAGGGACCCAGAGATTGGTCAGCAGTCTTTACTGTTCCAGGTAAACGCTAATATAAACAAATTGTGGATTCCTGAACTAAACCCCTTTTTTATGGGCTAAAAAGTATATGTTTAAAAATTGATCAAATATTTTCCATAGGAATATAGAAAAATGAGACAGCTATCTGACCGGCTGAAAGAACCACACTTAATAAAGACTAAGGACGAAAAAACAGATAAGTTTGGCTGTTTTGAAATGTTTTCAGAGCTTAAAGAGCCAAATGAGCATCCAAACTAAAGTAGATATTATTAAAGCAAAATGTTTGTACATTTTTGGTTGGGAAGCTGCAAGTAGCAAATTTGTAAAATAGCCGACTGCAGATAATGGATCAAACTGCTTTATTAACTAATATATCCTTGTTAGATTAGGTTTGCTCTTTAAAGAGAAGAAAAAGCAAAAGTTCTAATATTCTTCCACAGTGTACATATATACCCAACCCCAAATATATGTGTCTAGTTTACTCTGTATTTTATATTATATCTAAAACTATAATAACCAGTATTTGAATTTTGTTACTTTTAGTGACAAAAATGTTTTTAATTCTGTATCTTTGATAAAAAAGCATGGGATTTTTACATGAATACACAATACTGTGCTGAGTTTACTCATTAATATTTCACAGTAAGACTTTTATTTGCTTGATTCCTAAAAGGAAAATTGAGAAACATTTCTTTATCATGGCTTCTTCTGTTGAGTGTATGCTTAATAAAACACTCATCGGTCTGCACTTTTCTTCTGTCCAATAAGTAATTCACTAGTGATGGTCTAGCAACGCCGATACGTCGGCGTATGTGTTGAGCTAATAAAACAAAACCCTCTTTCAGTGTGCGTATCGTTTCAAGAAAATCGGGTGACTGATACAGGAGCTGTTTCGAACTGACTCCCCAAACTGTGTAAATAAGCCCACCTGTTGACGGAACGCATCTGCCTAAAAAATCTCAATATCTAATTTTTAATTCTCTCATGTCACCCTGTTCCTCTCAGTTATCACTCAAGTAATCTGTATTTAAATTGAATTCAAATGGACCCTTAGTTTACTGTACTTATGTTTTTTTAAATACTAGTCCACAAGCATCCTCATTCACATGTTCACCTAAATTTTCATGTTATGATATATGTTCACATTATGTATTTACTGCATCTAAAAATATATTTTTATATAAATGAAGATACAAAACAACACAATATAACTTATATTATATTATAACTCAAATTAGTGTCAGTTTAGTCTGTTCATTGGGCTGCATGTAGGGATTTTGAGAGTCCAGCTGGTATCAGTATTGAGTGACATAGTATCAATACAGTCTTATATGTTGAAACGCTTCACGGTGCCTTATTAACTCATCACTGCTGTTTACTGTTGAAATGAGAAAAGCTGCTTTCTGATCCAGGTGTCACGAACATTACTTCATCGCATTCGCAGCCACTCATGTCCGACTCTGTGTGTGGGTAACCTTTACCTTTATATTGTATCTGCCTTGATCAGATCGATTATCCGGAGATAGCAGAAGGAATCGGACCCAGGCACCGTTTCATGTCTGCTTATGAACAGCGCATTGAGCCTCCTGATCGTCGCTGGCAGTACCTGCTGTTCGCTGCTGAACCTTATGAAACTATTGCTTTCAAGGTAAGTGAATATTTCACTGTGTAAATCCTGTATGTTTGTAATATTCTAAACCTTACGTTGTGCAGAAGACAAGTTCCTCCTTTCTTTATTCTGAGATGCTGTTTTTTTCCAGGCTTTACCTTGATAGGAACATTTCTAGTAAATTTATAATGAACCTTTGTATTTATATTTTAAATACAATTGATAAAAAGATAAAACAGAAACAATGAAGTTTAGATACCATGTATGGAATTAGAAAATGTGCAGGAACTATTTCTATATACAAATGGCATCAACATTACATGAGATCTTTGCTTTTTCAGGTCCCCAGTAGGGAAATAGATAAGGCAGAAAACCGTTTCTGGACCCACTGGAACAAAGAAACTAAACAGGTTCTGATTTACAACCAGCTATGGAAATGTCTCTAATCTTATGGAAGTACAATATGAAGTACAATGTGGTTTTTTTTTTTTTTTTTTTGTCTACAGTTTTTCCTGCAGTTCCACTTCAAAATGGAGAAGATGATCTCCCAGTCCAGCGGTCCACCACCTCCTGTTGGCATGAAGCACCAACCTCAACTCATGACAGGACCAGGATCCCGGCCACCAAATGACAGTCTGCCCCCACCACCAGGAGGGATGTCGGTCCCTCCTCATCCACCTGGGGCTCCGGGTGCCCCACAGATGCCCCCACAGATGCCCATGCCCCCCATGCCGATGAGGCCGCCACCTCCTGAAGGCCTAGGAATGTCTAACTAAGATTTTTTATTTTTTTTTGCTTTCTCAAAAAAAGATCCAGTTTTTTCAGTCGATTCTTAGCAATTTTCCGGATCGGGCTGACATCTCCCAGTTTCATTTCCATCAACATCAGTCTGTAATTTCAGCTGTAAACTTTTTTGAAAAACAATTTTTCTAAATAAATGCCACAAAAAGGTCTTCAGTTCTTTGTGCTTTTCTGTTGACATAACACTGAAAATATTACCTTTTAAGCTCAAAGTTTTTATAATATGAACTGTTCAGATTTATGCTCTTTAGTAGCTCTTTTACTTAACATTACCAGTGTGGTACAACACTGAAAAACATCATTTATGTAATTCAGAAATTTCTTAGAATGAAATATAAGTCATCATTCATACTTATTATGGCTAAGATCTGATTAAAAAAATATAAGAATTATAACATATATAACTCATGGGAAGGTATGTACTCGATAAAGAGCACCACTCTGAGGGCCGGATTTATCAAGATCCAATTTTGCGTGCAATAATTTGCGCTCGCAAACTGGAATTTTGCGCGAGGGGCTGAACCATGGTTTGCGGGTGATTTAACAAGAGTGATTGCGTAACTGGTGGCAGGTGCAAAACTGTTGGAGACGCCCTATTTAAATGATGGTTTTGCGCGTTTTGTGGTTTGCGGCAAAGTAGTTTGTAGTTTGTGCAAACTAGTGCATTAAGAAATTTTAATCTTACAGTGACACCCCCACCCCCTCCAAAAAAAAAAAAAAAAAATATATATATATATACCGGTATATAAACTTTGGCAACCTTTATTCCCTAAGGTGGTATGTGGCTGAATTTCTACTTCACTGCAGTAAAAAAAAAAACAAAAAAAAAAAAAACAGGTGTTTTGTATCGGCCTGTAGAAAAATGCACATACGAAATGGCTCACAATGGGACTGTGGATGAGATGACTACGCATCCCCGCAGCATTGGCACGTTGCTCCACAGGCGCAGAGGTCGGGGTTCTCTCCATTAGGGCGACATGGCATTTAGAACGTCGGACAGCACTTCTGAAAAACGAGATTGGGAGATCCCAGATGCAAAAAAGTGCAACGTTGCAAGGAGTTTTGTGATATCCGGGGTATTGCGTGGGTCCTCCTTGTGGCTGGCTCCAAATCCATTCGGAGTTCCCCCAACAGCTCCAAAATGGCAATGCTGGATAAACGATATGTTTTTATGATCGTTTCCTCGTTCATTCCAAAAATATTCACAAGGAGTGAAAAAATGCGTTCTCTGCGTCTCCTTGCTTCATTTCCATGTCTCCTTCTTGCGACAATAACCGCTGCCATGTGTGCGCAATTACGCATACAGACCATTTGCACCTTCTTTTGAAACGTGTTAAATATAGAGTCAGATACCGTTAGCAAAATTGCTTTCAGGTTTAATAAATCACTTTGCGAGTGCTAAATTAATATATTTACATGTTCTCCTCCCACAAGACGCACTTTTGCATGTAAACGCCCCATATTGCATATTCATTGCAGAAAAAGTACTAAATGGATAAGAGGCGCTATTTAGCACGTTTTAAAGACCAAATCCTTTTAGCACGCTGTTGATAGATCAGTTTGTACATTTTTTAGCGTGCGCAATGAAATAGCTCACGTTTTTATACACGCAAACCTTTGATAGATCCGGCCCTGAGTTGTGTTCTTGACTGTATTGCACCTTTCCTGTTTTTTAATCCTTATTTGTTCTCAATGCTTGGTTGCGGCTTTTTTTTTCTTACTTCCTTAACCATAGTCTGACATTTTAGGTGATGGATCCGATTCTGAAGAAGTATTAAGAAAGGTTCTGGTGTTTTTGGAAATGTGAACATTTTCTCCTGCTGACAAATTGTTACCAAGCTGAATCATGAAGTGATAAGACCTTTCCCTGGTAAAACATGGCACTGACTTTCAAACTTAAGGCTTTATAAAGGTAGCATTAGCATGTGAGCACAGCCATAACTGGCTGTTGAAACTTGGCACTCAGGCAACCTTGATTCTGTTCCTTCTCCCCTACTGTGAGACCTTGGTACCCAAAAGATTACATTTGATCTGAAATGGGGACTTATCCCTCAGCTGAAGGAATTTGACAGATGTAACTGAAGTCCTGGAAACATTTGGTGGTAAGAGAAGCATTGGCCCCAGCAACAGGCCACATCCTGTCCAACTCCATAAACTCTTCAATGAGTTTCTCTTTACAATCCTCTGTTCAATCAAATGTTTTCCTTCCATTCATATCTCCATTAGGCATGTTTGCTCTAAACATCAAGCTTCTTTATCAGTTACCTTATTTTGGTGACTGCTGCAAAGCCTTCGTTGTAGATATATAGGCAGTAATATGGACGTAAAGGTATAGTGGAGGATGTTCTTTTTTCCAGGTGGATCATCAAAATAAATGGTCCTCCTAATTGTCAATCATTCCGGTGATATGTTTGCGTAAGGCCGTCTTACGTGCTCGTCCCAAGGTTCACTATGTCCGCAATGTTAGACTTAATGGTCGTGAGTCTGACATTGTGAAAACATGTCAAATCTTTTGGAAAGTAAGCTTGTATGAGCGATGCAAACAGCAGCTTTTAAACAGAGTGTGCATAAGGAGAAATCTGCTTGTGCATCCTCTCGTATGCGTTTAATAGGCGTTCAGGGTTGTGCATGCAAATTTTTTTTTAAAGTGGAGAGGGCAGGTATTTTCAAAAAACTTTAACATCTGGTGTCTAAAAATACTTTTAATGGTGTCATATCATTTGAAACGACGGCGGGGTAAAAAGAGCTGTTAGTCATCCTCCGTATTACGCGGAATAAGCTGTTGAATGTGTATCTGTGATAAATACACATGGTTTTTAGATTGTATTACAGAAATTAATTAACCTTTTGATTATTTCTTGAGAATTTGATTTTGAGTTTGCAAATATCAGCTGAAACAACACTCAGTAGACTTTATACATGTGCTTAGCAGGATTTATTAGATGTCTTCTCAAAGAGGCAAGGTACAGACTTATTTCATTTTGGGCCTAATACATTAAAATAACTAAGGCAACACTGTGCTATAAATCTTCAATGCTTACATTGATCATCTTGTGTATCTCAGAGCTAAATAAAAAATCTCAATCTTTTATTCTTCGTCTTCCAACATATTCTTTGGCTCTGTCTCGTCTCTTTCATCATCTTTGTCTGTTGCCTCTTCAGGGTCCTCTTTCTTCATCCTTCCTCTCTTGTCTTTGATTCTGTTGGCCTTGGCTTTTCTGGTCCTCCTGTCCTTTAATTTCCCGTCTCTTTGCTTTAAGAGTTTTTTCTCTGGCATCGGCCTGTTCCTGAAACCTCTTGATGTTCGTGTTGTTACTACCCTCTTTGATTTTCTTCTTTTGATCTCTTCATCATCATCCTCTTCTTCGTCTTCATCATCAAGGTCTGGCAGCCACCAAAAAATGACTTCCCACAGAGACATCTCAGGCTTTAAGGAAATAGGAAGTATGTAGCTTAGATGAGCCTATAAAGTCACGATGATGAAAAACACTCAATGCTTGATTGTAAAACCTGTAACAGAGACTAGTTTACTTCTGGCAGATGTCCTCTGTGACGTAACATCCTTGGTCGCCTCACTGTCAGCCCAGCTTCTTCCAATTCTTCTATTGTTCCCTGGCCACGCAAAGTTTCTGTAGCATTTCAAAGAATACACCTTTTATTTTTTTTATCCTACAATTCAGTGACATAATCAATGTTTCTATACACTTGTGATTAAAATCTTGAAGTCCAAGGAAAAGAGTATTCATATTTTGTGCTGATGGATCATAACCTGGTTGTGAAAATACATTAAACACCTGAGAAGAAGTAAGAGGAAGATGTAAACAGAGTAAAAGTAAATATCGGAATACGCTAATAAAAAGCTATGAAAGTTTGCAAAACCTCTAGCAAACTTCATCAGTCGGACTTTGTTAGCTGTATTAAAAGATATGTGGCAATTAGGACAAAAAACATTGAGTGGTAGACCCTGAAAAGGTGTCACCTGTGCTGAGCCAAATGTGCTGACAGGCTGTCTGTGATGAAACAAGCAGATCTTTTACTCTAATTTAGGCCCTTAATGAGGTTGGCTGTAGCCCATTGATCATATGACTGCAAAGTCATGAGGACTTAAACAAGTAAAGAAGTTCTTCAAAAGCTGTCTTCTCCCATAATTCAGTCTTATCCTTTGACAATGAGCCATATGCCCTACTCCACTGCTTCCTGAAGACTTAGACACTTTGAATCTTGTATACACAGTGTATACAAATTAAAATATCAATGCATACAGCTTTCAACAGTGAATGAGCAGCTTACAGCAGTGAAATTATTAGCTATTTATAAAGTGCAGCAGTGAACAAGAATGTAGACAGTGTAGGAGAAAGGGAAAACCAGGTTAAAGTAATGGTGCAAAAGGCATTGATATGGAAAGGTTCAGGGCAATGTAAATAAATATGGTTCAAAATGCAGTAGAACCAGGGGAGGATTTACCATTAGCCAATACTAGGCACTTGCCTAGGGCCCCAAGTTCCTGAGGGCCCCATAAAACCTTGATTGTATGGTTAATACAACTGTTCCTTATTTGTTCACATTAATTATGTTTTTGGTAAAAATCCTTGTGCTAAAATGCCATCACGATGCTTATAATATCAGTCCATTTGCTGAACAGGTTCAAAAAGGTCCAAAAAGACAACAGCAAACCATTTGAAAACAAACAATACATAGAACAGTGTTGCAGGATTTGTGCTTTTCAGACCCCTCTCGCACTTTCAAAAAATGAAATCTAATCTAAAAGTTGACAGATCTACCTGCTGTTTCCTGCTTCTGGTGACTTTGGCATCCAGATATAAAAGCACCAAACTCTGCTCTCCAGGACAAGTAGATTCGCAACCCCACCTCCTGCTCTCCTCTCTCTTGCCTGCTGTCATGATTAATGCAGCTATTATTTCATTTAAATGAAAAATGGAGATCGTGGCTTGTCTACAGTGACGAGAAGGACTGTGTTATTTACTTTTGCCGTTGCCTTTTTGGAAACACAGGCAGGAGCAATCAGCTAACTGAGCTTAGTACTTGGAAAAAATCTTTTATTCTTCTTGAGAGCATGAAAAGCCAGCAGAATTCAAAACATAGAGGAAAACAACAAGAAGAGAACAAATAATGTATTTCTGTATCTATAAAATGAGTCTGTTTTATGTGTTGTCTTCTCAATTCAGATGGTTCCATGCCTGTCTTCGCCTAGGGCCCCAAATTTCCTTACTCCGCCTCTGAGTAGAGCATTGGGTTGTGTTCTATTTTAAGGGATCATAAAAAAATCAGCCAGTGCTAATGCAGAACTGCAGGCAGCTCCTTTTTCTTTAATAACTGGAAAAACTGATTATGTGTGACCTCAGTTACCATAACGAGAATGGCCAGATAAAACTTGTTTAATCAGTTTTTCCAGTAATGAAAGACAGGAAACAAAGGAAGGATAGAATTTGGACATATAGACCATTGCAAGGGAGTCTTACATGTAATCAGGGAAAACTTTCCTGATGCCTTCCTAAACGAAACAGTACTCAGTTCCGAGCTGTTCCTCTGTTTGGTTCCCTGCTTGCGTTACTATTACCATGCTTTCAAACTGTAGATCAAAAAATGGACAGCCATGTTGTTTTCAGTAAAATTTCTGCTTGTTTCATTTAATCTCTTGCTCTTATTGTCTGCTGTTTGAATTTCAAACCTTAACATAAAACCTGGTTACGATCCAGCAGCAAAAAAGGTGAATACCTCTTTTTTCTTGCCTTTTCGATATCGATCAGAGTTGTGTCCATAATCCTGCATTAATGTTTTAGTGTACTTGCCGTTAAGTCTCTGAAAGCCTGACGTGAGTACCAGAATGGTGATGGCAACAAAAAGACAGCGGTTGAGAGTGATATTCTCCCAGGGCGTCGCTACCTGAGTCAGGTTTATAGTAGGCAAGGGTTTTTCCAGGGACGCTGAAAGAAAAGATTTGAATACTTAACTTAAAAGTTTAAAGATCTTAAGAGAAAGGATAGGAGTAGCTTACATGGTTTGGTGAAGCTGGGTTCCCTGGGCAAGGTCTTAGGTTCTGATCTCGGTTGTTGAGGAACAGGAGCTACTTCCTGTCAGGGAACAACTCAATAATAAAGAATATCAGAATAAACAATTTTTGGACATGTTGCTTGTTCCAAAGCTCACCTCTCTGTTTTTTCTTGACGCGAAAATTTCTGAAAAATACAAATAAAAAACAATACATTTATATAAACATTATGGTATGAGTTAGATTATTGAAAAATGGAAATAAAATAAATATTTAAGCATACAACAATTTTATATTAATTTAATTTAAAATTTATTAAAAAAGAAATCATTAATTAAGAAGGTAAATTTAAAAGTGATGTAAAATTACAGAGTTTATTAATGCAAACATGCAGCATGAAACGGTAAAAGCAATTTTGCTTTATTTCTGAAGTGACACTATCTGATTTATTTGACTGAATTCAGGACTTTCATCATGTTTTTCCAACCCTTTTAAAAGCACTTAGTGAATTTAGGGTTGGTTTTCCTTTCCAAATACTTTTTATTTTACTTTATAATTTTGTTTGATGACATTAATCAACTCTTAATTCATGATTATGAAATAGTCCCAGTATATTATTCTGGATACACCCCTTTGAAAATAAAATTCATTTACACAAACTCAATAATGCAACCCATTATTGTGACCCATTAATGTTAGGTCTGTTTTTTTTGTGTAAATTGTCATGCAGACGTATTAGTTGAACCTAAAATAGTGAATAATCTTAGTGCCATTATGTAGAACAAAGCTGTAAAATATGGAGGCATCAGAGATTCAGAGTGTGCGTTTTTGCTCTTGCCTCCACTTGTTTTGCGGATCTGTCGAACAGGTCTCTGTGGAGGATCGTCTGCCCTCGGTGGCCATAACTCCTCCTCAAATGTCTCATAGCTCTCTTCCATCCCTCCCCCTGAGAGAAAGTGAGAGACAGAAGTGGCATAAATCATGTCTTTATCACAATAATCCATCAAATCTCAGGCGTACATGTTTAACAAGATCGCAATCAGACACCAGTTTAGTTTGATGCCTTCATTTCAAAAGATCATGTTATTTATCTTGATATCTTCACTTTTACTTTCACAAAAAAATTTGGAATAAATTAGCATTCAGTTCGGCTGCATAGGCTGTCAGCAAAGAAAAAGGTTAACATCTCTGCCTTGTGGGAAAAAAACTGATTCTTTTTCTCCCCCTTCACATTTAAGGATGAAAAGTGTATGGCCTTCCTCTCCTACATGACATTTCTACATGGACACTGAGCTAATGTCCTTGTAGCCCTATAAATAGATGGAGCAACGCAAGCCGGAAAGACATTTAGATTAACGATGTAAAAATACATGGAAAGATCATGTCGGATGTAAAAGTTCAACGCTGTTAGATTCAATATGTGACGACCGCCTCACAGAAATAAAGGACCTACCTGCCTTTACATTCAGTTTCCTTTGTTGGTGTCGAAGGACCTTTGTCACAGGGCTGTTGTTCCTCCACAGAGTGTTTGGGCTGTGTGACAGCCAAGCACAGGTGCAGGAGCATAAAAAAACAAAAAGTGTTGATAGAAGCTAGCTAGAATTTACCATGCCTCATACAGCTGTTAGATATGATTCTGCAAAATAAGAACAGAGACAAATATACTGCCAAGGAAATAAAGCAAAAACATTATTATTTGCCAAGAACTTTGCTCACTGAAACAGTTATATCGTTTCCTCAGCCTTTATGCTTGGGAATTTGTTTAATTACCAGCAGTGTGTTAGGGGAAGACTTTACAACCCTCATAATCCAAAAAGCTATTTTTACCCACATTTAAAATACAGTGTATCTAGAACTTCAAAACCTAGTTGACCTTTTAACCTTCAAACTGTAATGTTAGAGTACCTATGTAATAGTATTTCTGTAACTATTGTCCTTAGGTTATCACTTTTCATACCTAAATTTCTGACTGCAATCTTCTGAATTTGGAAACCTTTTATCCAGTTTGTTAACTTGTTAATTAAATATGATGATAAATTATATTGTATTTGTGTCGGTCAGACTGTTTTCTTGTTTTATAATCAAACGGAACTGTACATTACACTTAAATTTCTAATCTGAAATATATGTATAAGTAAAGCACTTATTGCTTTATCCAAATAACATAAAACAACTTAACAAAAGATGTTTTTTGTATGAATCATTCTGTTTTGTGAATTTTATTCAGATTTTCCATGAAAACATCAAGAGTAGCTTCTGAAATCTTTCCTGTTGTGTTTGAATAAGGAGCCACCATGGGCTCTGAAATTATCCACCATTAACTGGAAAAGCCCATGACCTGCAGCCTACAGACCTCTGGTCTAAAAATGATTTTGCTATCATGTAGAGAATTTAACAGCAGAGAGCGCCACTCTACTACTGGAAAACAAGATGAGGTCACTTTGCTTTTACATGTCTGGCATTGGTAACATGAGATCTGTGACAAAAGGAGTCAGACAAATTAAATTAAAGATTTATGCATCCATTTTTAAAAACCTTTTTATCAACAGAAGATGGTAAAAACTTTCTAATATTTCTCAAAGATTTTTCCCACCTGTTTGTTTTGTGTAGGTTTAAGGGAATAAGCTTGTAGGATGCTAGCACAACATTACCAAATGTAGCTATGACTGGGTTTGATCTGGGTTTGGTGGTTTGGGGCCATCTGTATGTGGGACAGCAGTGAAAGTGTTGGTAAACAGGAGGCTTGTGGCAATGTTTTTCTTTGTGACTCATGCATCTCCTGGCTCCCAGTTCCAGATGAATCACACATTGTTTTATCCATCCGTAATCCTAACTTGACAGTATCTTTGCAACCTTTGATGTGTGTAAAAGGATCATACAATGGAACAAATAAAGCCAAATCTGAAACATATGGCTCACCTACTAGCCTATAGTAACCAGTCTAATGCAGTGTGGAAATTTTAGTTAGTATTAAGTCAGTTTAGCATTTTTATATTAATAATCTAGAAAAGCACTCGGAGCAGCAAATTTTGCCCCATATGGTGACCTACACCAATAGCTAAACATTTAATATCCGGATCATGACTTTTGGAGTCCAATGCTGAACCTATAAATAGTCACTACTGCCACTCTCTGGTTTTGTGGGGAACTGATTGTTTCCACCATAAATCCCTTTCTCACAATGTTAAATAATCCATAAAAAATCCTATATCCAGATTATAATCTGGATCCTTGCCAAAATGTAATGTATTGTTCATAATAGTTTTAACATCTGATCATATCTTTTCAAGTTACCCTGACAGACTCTCCTAGAACTAAAAACATAACCTTTTTGGTGGAGGTAAAAGTTTTTACAAAATGTGTCATCCAAAAATATGTCTCAAATTAATAGAAATATATTAAGGGAATCCAGTCAGCAAGGAACACTCAATGCATCATTTTCTATGCCTAAAACTAATATGTTCGTGGTGATTGAATGTATTTTGTGTTAATCAGTAAAAAAAATAAAATAAAATAACAATAATTTTTTTCACTGACTCAAATTCTTTGTGAAATTGTTTTACTACAGTAGCTTGATTAGGCACACTCATTGTTATTTCATTTTAAGCCTTTGTTCATTTTTTAAAGATTTTTTATAATAAAATAATGTGACATTTCTTCAATAGCATCGAGGTCATGTGACCCACTAACCTATAACTTCCACTTATTTCCTTATCTGTCAACAGTCTAGTCATTCTTTAAGTTAGCTTAACACGGGTTATTTCAGCTTTTTTCTGGTTAGCTTTACCCCACCACTGCCACCCTCCCTCTAAAACAGGGGTCTTCAATGTTTTCCAGGCCAAGGACCCCCAAACTGATGGTGAGATGGAGCGGAGACCCCTAATTACATATATTGTATGAAATTGTGTTATATCAAACTTGTCCTATAGTCACTATTACAGATGGAGTCATGTAACAAAAGTAATTGAGCTCTGGGATTATTAAAGAATTTCTGATTCTGATTCCTTGTTGATGGTACAGGGGTTGTGAATGAAATGGTGCCCAGCTTGAAGGAGCTCCTGTGTGTCGCTGAAAGTGTGCATTGATCATGAGCGGGTTCTAGACAGGGGCCAACAGGGGACAGTGCCCCTGTTATGGCTGCTGAACTAAAGACATAATACTCAAAGAAATTCTAATGATGATATTTGCTGGAACAGACATGGTTACTGATAGGTCCTTTGGATCTATTTAATTTTTTTTCTTTACAAATTTTGCGTACTAATTATTTAAAAACAATAAGGTGATACCTTCAGTAGTATTAAGATAGGATCCCAGCTAAGCATACTCTCTCTCTAAGTAATACGAAAACTTCCTCCTATTAGCGTCCTCAAGCTAACCTCCTTGTTTTCAGAAGCAGTTCTTGCAGTCTGATCTCTTGCCAGATTAATTTCTCTAAGTAAATTAACCATTTAAATCTATTTGTTGTGTTGTGGTGAAAGTGGCATTGGATGAAGGAGTTTTCCCTGCAACCGGATAGTCCCGTCTGACTACTGATGGTGGTCAGAAGGCCCGGTGGCGCCAGCGTATGGCGGCCTAATTTCTGTCAGTGTTTGCCAGGGCAGCTGTGGCTACAATGTAGCTTGCCACCATCAGTGGGTGAATGACTGAATATAGTGACTATAGTAAATATAGTGTCAAGTGCTTTGATTAGGTCCTCTAACTTGAAAAAGTGACATATAAGTACAGGCGATTTACCATTTGTGTCCGGGCTCAATATTGTATGTGGGTTGGGAAATTAAACAAGAAAATGACAGAAAAAGTCATTATAAACTTGCAAAACTTATTAATTACTATCATCCATTCATTCTAACTTTGCGCTGGTAGTCCCTGAACTTTCTGAAGTACTACATAAGGTTAAAGTGACTCTTGAACAGCCCCTTGTGCAAACACCACGGCACATAAAGTGAGGACACTTTGCCTCTGGCAAAAATGCACAAAAAAAACAAAAAAAAGGTTCCAGATTCGGGCACCTTAGAGAACCGGTGAAGCTGCCTGTCCCATTTTGTGTCCTTTTAATGTCCTTCGACAAAACAGGACAGGCGATTGTCCAGCAAGCAGCTCTGTGCTCACCATATTACCGCTACATCAGAATAGATTAATATATTTTTTAAATGATTTGTCTTAGACAACATAAAGACCTGGTCAATGAAATTAAAGTTTTACTGAACTGCTCAGAGAGTTCATTTTCCCACATCACCCTCTGTTTTTGCGTACTTAGTTACAAGTAGTGACAGCATTAAGTTAAGTAGATATGGTTCTAAAGCGCAGATAGAGAAGCTTTTTTTCTTACGAAAATGAAAGGAATTTAATACAGGGATGTAATGGAAGAAATATCAGTAGTAGAGGCAGTGAAAGACTTTAAACTGAGCTGTTTTCCAAACAACAAATGGAAAAAAAAAGTTGACTGAGTGGATCTACAGCTGTGTTTTCAAAGGATCACTCCACAAAATATTGACTTAGGGATGTTTTTTTTTTTTTTTTTTTTTTTTTTTTTTTTTACAAATGGACCAGAATTTCTTGTAGGAAAAAAACAGACCGTATAATGCTTATCTGTCCCTTCCTAAATTTAATTATTTGTTTTTCAAATATATATTTTTTTTATTATCCATTAATTCCGGTTTCATGCAACCATTATCATTTTTTGAGTGATACAGCTTGTAGCCATATTTAAATAAATTATATATCTGTTAAAATAAACTAATTATTTAGAAGTCCTCTTGGTAGCACCCGTTACAGATGACACATAAACCAGCAGCTGCCACTCTGAGAAAAGGTCAACATGACCAAACCGGCAGCTCTCATCTGCAGGGCAGCCTCATAGGAGAGCCTTTCTTCCATCCAACAACAGTATCTGCTTTTTTTTTTGACGTTGTTCTTCACAGTTGTGCTAACAGTAAAAAAAAAAAACATCTCATCTGAGGAGAAGTGACACCAGATCCATCAGGGCTCATAGTGGTTCTCTCAGAGCTGCTTGCCTTTCACTTTGCATCTTCAGACCTCCTGGAGCTGAAATGGGACCCTTGTGTTTCCCAGTCAGTCTGTATGTCTTCAGGCAGCTCACTGAAACTTTGATCTCCAAGAGACCAGGATATGTAAGAGTATGAGTCTTGTTGGGAAAGGAGGATGGACCCTTCTGCCGCTCAAGCCGCGCCCTCAGGCAGATAAATGTTCAGCTGTCTCAACAATGTGATATTCTGCCTGTCATATTTCTATCACAGGATAGGAAAGGTGAAGCATAGATAAAGGTAAGATAAAGAACGACTCAGGATGAATACTAATGCATACAGTGGATGGATGATTTCAGAAAACAAGATGAAACATTTTCCCTTGTGCAGACAATGTTCCTCTTCTAATTTCCCTCCAAATATCTCCAAGCCCTTTTCCTGTTTTTTATAGAAAAGGCACACAGGGTATCAAGGACATATTTGCAAAGTGAAAAATGAAGAAAGAGTTTTAATCTTATATCAAAATTCTGGAACTGGGGCAAATCCAGCTGATATAATCTGACCATAAATGCTTAGGTCTGAAATTTCTAAAGTTATATACGGCTT